CGAGTTAAAATAATTAGTTAACTTGCCCAGCCTTGAGCATTAGACGATATTCTCTTGAGCGAATGATCATCATCAAACACATATTATTACATATACATAAGAACGTATTACGTATAATTATGTAATATAGCATTATAATTTATAGCACTTAACATAATAGCTATAGGTAAATCAATACATCATTATGCATTTATATTATGATATTTAAATATATTAATCTGGAAACGGCATGATTTCAGTGGTAAGTATATAATATAATATACCTATGGCGTCTATTTAGCTGATTATAAAAGATAAAATAAATAAATACATTTACTTTATACAAGGACATCAAAAACTATAAAAAGCAAAATCTCTGCAATTTTATGTGGTATGATTTTATACTTAATCCTGCAAGACTCGCAGGATATCGCGATTACGATTATTCTAAACCACAGGTATATAAAATTGCAACAAAAAATATTTTATCTCTACCATTATAGATTCCGTGTATATAACGTAAATAATATTATAATATAATGAGTACCATTTAAAGTGGTGGCATGACCCCTGCAGGCGCGGCCTTGACAGATGACAGATATAATAGGTATCTGCATAGATAACCATGATTCTACTAATAATATATTTATTTAATATTTATACTTTTTATCCTTATTTTATATTACTAACATAATATGCAGTTATGCTTGACAAAACATTACCTACATGGTTTGACAATTAAATATTTAAATTGATACTCTACAGCGTATAGTGACGTATCTATATGTATTATATTATGTACATGGGCGATGGGCCGAGTTGCGGATAATTGACATAACACATAGAACTGATATAAAAATTATAGCTGAAAAAAAAATCAGTATAACTTTCGCATATTATAAATAATATGTTGTTTGTGAATTTACCACAATATTACTTAAGTAAATAACTATGCTGACAGCTCTGTGGCTCTTCGTTTATATATTATTATAATACATATTATGACATTATGCACCTATCTGTATTATGATCKGATAGTAAACCTAATGGCTTTACGATTGCACTATATCGTCTATATCGGGTATTTGGACCACGAGACATCCAGAGTCATGGAGCAACATATTATGAATCGCTTGTTTGCTAGTTTGCAAGACTTATACCCACTCGGACCTCCGGGACCTCGGTTTGCCCCTGAATAAAAGCAGCTTCATTTTTGTCAGACGCTAAGATCGAGTTGATGAAAAGTTGATGGAATTTGCAASGGACTTAAAATTTAATGCAACAATTAAGCCATCATTACTATTGTTACTATTATTATTGAAACATTGCATTCATTAGTAATGGCTCATGAGTCATGATTCAATATATATGGTTGAATACTTGTATCACATGTTATTTATTCAGTGATTATATTACACATGTTTTACACACTTCACACATAAATCAAACTACATGTACCTAATTGATAAAAAATAAATGTTTCATATATTATTGATATAATGTACGATATACCTATTGTACCTAGGTAATAAAGATGATAAATAATTGCAAGGTATAAAATTAATATCTAAAATCTATTATATCAAATTAAGTTTAATGAACCTATTCAAATGTCATCAACTATTAACATTATCAATAATATAACAGAAATAATTGTTTTTACCTACATAGAGGAAACCTGGGTAAGATGGTAGGTACACCTAACTCTTTAAATCATATATTTAACATTTACATGTTAATTTGCTATTATTTACTTTAATTGATCGAATATGGGTTTTGATATGATTCTAAAACGAGATATATCAATTAATTTTTCACAAATTTTTTTAATATTAACACTACTTCTATACTATATGCATCGTACAATTTTTAAAATATTTTGAATCATGTTGAATTATTTATACAGGCATATGAACTTTCGTTTATTTACATTTTTTTTTACCGTTTTAATTTATTAACGTTGAAACAAATTTATGCTCTGTCATAAAACTTGAAAATTTAATACAAGGGTCCCCACTTCCCCAGTAAGTTGTTATCAGTGGAAAAAATTTTAAATCCACAATATTTTTTTATGACCACCTGAATTTCGAATTATGGTAAAATATGTAAAAATCACGTTAATCTGAAAATTAATTTGAGTTAGAAATTCATGAAAAATTTTTCTTTTTAAATCTAAGATTTGAAAATTTAATTCAAGATTCCCCATAAGTTTGTCTATTGTGACATTATCTTACAACGTGTCCTATGTTCATATAAGTACCTGTATAACACCACTTTTTTTTTATTGATAAATTACTACCTTGGCCACATTATATATTTACATGAGATTAAAACTTATATCATTTTTTTTTTTWWRARAAAAWAWAWATATATATGTAATAAAAACTTAAATGATTTTGGAATAAGACATCGTTGAATACAATACAATTTTGGTGTGATAATAAATTGTCAAAAAAATTAACTAATTGATTTAAATTAACA